CCCGCCCCGCCCCGCCGGTGCCCGCTCTGTCCCGGCAGCTCTCCCGCCCCCTCGCCGGTCACCGCTCTCTCCCGGCGGTTCCCCCGCCCTGCAGCCCCCAGGACCAGGCAGACAATTGGCTTCACAGTGGTTTAATGCGAACGGCACCGGGACGTTACACTGGACAGGGTGCAGACAGCTGGATGGATGGCAGCCCCGCGCAGGGCAGGGGAAGGAGCCGCCCCGAACGCGACTGGCGGCAGCAGGAGGAGGGGACCGAGCCCCTCCGAGGCCACGGCCGCCTCCACCGGCACCGGGCTCCGCGCTGCCCCACGGCCCTGTCCGGGCCGAGCCAGCCCCCGGAGCAGCTCCCTCGCGCTTTCAGCGACTTCTCCCCAAGAGCCACCTCTCGCCCAGCAGTACCAGTTCCTCACCAGAAAACAGAGGGGATGTTGGGAAGGCCTCGGGGAACGTGCCTGGCAGGAACAGGAGGGCATCCACTCTGGGCCTGTGCTCCAAGAAAGGCTCAACTGTGCCACAACAAAGTGACCAAGCGCTTTTAAACCAGCCAGCCCTGACCTGAGGGGCCCCCGAGCTGAGGCCCAACCTCACTCATCACAGCTGTGGCAGCTGGGGGAGCCTCTAAAGGACACTTGTGCTGCAGCAAGTCACAGCCTCATTGTCCCCTCAAGCTCTGAACACTTTCCTGACCAGTCGTATGTTCTCACTTCTACACAAGCAACTGCCTAGCTCACTGCAGAACAGGGGAGAACACACAAAGAGCCATTGCCACTTCTCCTGCTTTATAAGCAATGTCTAACCTAGGACTGACCATTTTCTGCTGTCCTTTTCTGGAGAGGCAGCCTCACTCCAGGCCCCACTGCTGGGCTCCTCCAGTGGCAGCCATCACAGCTGCATCCTACAACTGCTCCCACCAGCCTTCTCTTGCTCCTCCTCAGCCAGCCAGCCTGCTCCTCCCAGCAGCTGGGGCCCAGGATAAGGTCACTAGGCTCAGCCGAGCAGAGTGCTGCAGGCAACACCAGCCCAGCAGCCCATGCCACAGCAGGCTGTGGTGTTTCCTAAACTCTGGGCCAATGCATCACAGCACATGTGGCTACAGCCCAGACTATCCCATCCTCCACGTGCCAAATGGCCCACAAAGAGCATCATGAGAGCACATGGGATGGAAACCCCTCGAGCTGCCAGCAGCACCTTAGAAAGGAGGGGGCACAAATACACCAAATAGGTCTGTAATTCAGGAGGCTGATAGCGGGGTTTGAGTAGGTGTTGGGTCTCAGCACTTCCAGACAGTGAAGAATGGGGGTTTCATGCAGGGTGAATGGGGTGGATGACAGACTGACACACCCAGGCACCTACTCACTGGTTTGGATAAACCTTACTAAAACTCTAATACCTGATATAATCACTGACCAACATGACAACTGCTATTCTTCAAAGTCTCCTGCAGAGATGCTTGGGGCTGCACAGACAAGGGAGTGAAGGTCATCTCTTATCTTCCTGTACAGGGAGAGAGGCAGCTCCTACACCAGAACGCCATTAGCAAGTTCCTGCTCCACACCTATCCAATCTGCCCCTAGACGTGGGACAACACACTCACTTGCATAAATCTTCACATCTTTAGGCCACGACCACAGCCCAGTAGAACAAACTGCTGCCAGTTACAAAAGAGGAAAATACTGAACAAACTGGGAGGTTCAAGAGAGGAAAAGCTGGTTCAGAGAAGACAGATTTAGTGTAAAAATAAATGTCATTTTTGCAGGAGGGAGGGTGGAATGGAGGAAGACAGTGCCAGGTGCTCCTACTGGCGCACTTTCCCTGGGACGTAATTCCTATCAATAGTCTCCTCTTGCAGGAACATATGTAAGCAGCGCTCGTTCTGTGCCAGTGGGTGTCCAGCAATTCTGGAAGAAAATCAGATGTGGAGGTTAGCACAGCTGCCTCCAAGACCCCCACGCCTCTGCTGTGTGCAGGAGGGAGTCAGGCAGCCAGCTCAGCACACCTGCACCGCGCTCAGCCCACGGTCACGCATCGCTCTGCAACAGGACCAGAAGAGGTGCTTGAGCACAGGCTGCTCCCTTCCAGGCCGTGCCCTCAACCAACAGTACCATGCTGGTGGGTCCCTGTAGCACAGCTGTCCTGCTAATACTCACTAGGCTCTCAGGAGAGAGCACAAAGCACAACCCCCACCTAGGGCAGGACTTGCTCCAGTTCCAGATTCATTACGTGGCTGCAGGCACCACCCTCCAGCACTGGCACCTGCCAGAAGCAGGTCAAGACTCAAGACTCTCTCACAGTCAACCCACGGCCCAGCAGCAGCTAAAAAGGCAGCACACAGCAAAGCCAGCACATCAAACTTACTTGTTAATAAACTGTTCTAGGCCCTGTCTCCGCTCCTCGATGAAAGACTCCTCAAAGATGCCTTCATCTCCTCGGAAGGGCAGCTGTCGTTTCAAAGCTTTTCCAGGCAGCGGTGGCACTACAATCTGAAACACAGAATCACCCGTGAGCAGAACAGCCACCTGCAAGCAGACATCCTTTGCTGTTTGATGCTCATCTCCAGTGCCATCACATGCATAGAGCAGAAGGTGCCCACTGTCAGAGATTGGCTAAATTTCATGTCTCTAAACACTTTGGGATGCTTGGCAAAGGCCTGTGTGTATGTTTGGTGGGAAGGGCAGATCAGGGCTTGTGAAGGGGAGACAGTGAAAGGCTCCACCCCCCAGCCCAGGCCGGGCAGAGATGTTCATCAGTCACACACCCCGCCCCGGAGTGACCAGAAGCTCCACCTTGGGAGGGGACCACAAAGGCCCTGGCCTTAAAAGCTCCCACGAGGGACTTGTGTGGCCCCTGCATTCTCCTGGAGTTTCCATCTCACCCTTGCTGGAACCCTAGGAGTTGGTAGCTATGTGTGTTTTTCTGTACCTTTTTTGTCTTTCTCTCTCTTCTAATCCTCTTTCCTTGGAAGTTTTTTGAGTAATATAGCAACTTAAGGTTTTAAAGGTTTCTAAGTTAAGCTGGGTAAGTTTATCCTAAATTAATAGTAAATTAATGCTAAGTAATGTTATAATAAGTGTTTTATAAGTGTATTTACTCCTTTGCCAAAATTCCTTATTTTTGCCAGTAAACTTTTGTGCATTTGTGACCTCTTGAGAATATCTGGTTGGGATTTCTCCTTGCACCAAACTAGAGTAAGGGAATCTCAGTTTAACCCCTAGATTTAAGTATCTGGGCTGCCACATCCACCACCACAGCCCCACTTCTCAAGATCACTGCTGCAACTGTTCCCACATCCTGGCTTAAGGAACAGGGAGGTCTGACCAGGCCTCACCTTACTGTCTCGTTCCAGCTCATTCTTCAGCCACTCAAAGTCGCTGTATCGTCTCCTCACACACGACTCCTTCAATTTGAAGATGGGGAGGTTTGTCTGTAATGAAGCAAAGCAGTTTATTTGCAGGTTGCTCTGGAAGCCAGGCGTGTAACTGAAACATGAAGCTGCAGTGAGAAAATCAAACCTGCTGAGAAGGACTCATGATGGGAACACTCAATTTCCTTATTCAGGACAGCACAAACACCAAAATCCTTCAGATCCAAGCAAGCCTGTCTATTCAGTGCCAGCCATTCCCTCTCCCCTGAGTGACTATTTCTGGAACACCCCCTTCCCAGGGGCACACACTGCAGCCAGTGCTGACAATATGACTGTCAGGAGAATGATTTTTCCTCCCCACAAGTTTACTTCATTTTGAAGTGATCGACAAGAGAGTTTTGCAGCAGTCTGCAGAGCAAAGGAACATCTGACCTGACACGGGCATCTCCATGGAAGAACTAACTGAGGAAATCTTGCCCCAGCAATTGTTCAAGGCAGACCTCATCTACAGTCTTCTCCCAAAACAGAGCACCTACCCTAACAGGCTTTTCATGCCCATCTTGTGTCACTAGAGAACGGTGCAGCAATTCTTCACCCTTCTCCCCTGCCACTGGGGTCCAACAAATGACATTTGTCATTTGTTGCATTAACTTTACCCCATCAACACAGTCTGAATCATTCCAGGAACTGAGGTAACAAAACCTTCTGATGGACAGCACTCAGATATTACTGCAACACAATTAACTGTTCTTATGAGGGCTGTGAAATAAACCCAGCTGCTTTCAGAGCATCTCTGCTGGTTTCAGTGGGACTAAGAGGTTCCCATTGCCACCTGCAGGCTGATGGGAGCCAAGCACCGGAGCAGAAAAAAGCAAACACCAATTCTTCTGAAAGGCAGAGGAGACTGAGCAGTTAAATCACGCTATAAGCAAAAGTCAAACCAGCACATGCTAAAGGGAGCTTGTTTTAGGTGAAGCTCAGCTTTACTTTTCCCATCTACCAGACGCAGAGCTGTGAAGTGGTTCCCAGTCCAGCTCGTTTAAGGCCCAACGGAGAGAACCCTGCTCAGCCCGCTGTGCACACTCCGAGCCCACGGGCTCTTGGCAGAGCAGGCAGCACGCAGTGTGAGCAGCCCCGCGTTCCTGCCCCCCTGCCTGAGATAAGCAGCTGCGTGCAGCCGTGCCCTGCTCAGCAGCCACCCCGCGGGGCTCTCCGAGGGACCGGGCGCCGGAGCTGTGAGGCAGCAGCTCCTGTCCCAGCCCCGCTGGATGCCGAGCGAGCCCGCGGCTCTGACCTTGAGCCCCGCAGGCGCGCCGCTCGCCCCTTCGCCTCCTCCGCCCCCCGGGCAGCCCGGCCCCGCAGGCCCGACGGGGGCCGCACCCGCATGCGGAGCTCGTAGCTGGTGTATCTGGCGCGGCCCATGCCCACGGTCTGCGGGTTGAAGATGTCGATCTCGAGGAAGTTGCTGGGCGGCCCGTACGCGTCCGTGAGGTCCTGCGGCTTCGCGTTGAGGCGCCGGGTGTCCGCCACCGCCGCCTCCGACATGGTGGTGGTGCCGCCGCCCCGCCCGGCGCGCCCCGCCCGCTACCGCAGCCCGCCCCGCCCGCGCATAGCCGCACGGGGTCCGCCCGCCGCCTACATAAACCAGCAGCTATCCAGGGTTCGGGGCCCCGCAGCTGCCGCCCCGCCCGCACATCGCAGCGCGGTGCCCGCACAGCGCCTGCATAAAGCGGTCGTTATCCAGGGTTCGGGGCCGCTCAGCCACAGCCGTGACAGCGCCGCCGTGCGGCCGCCCCTGCATAAGCGCAGCGGGTATTCAGCCCGCGGGGCTCGGTCGGCCGGCCCCGGAACCTGCATGGCAGGGTTGCTCCCGCGGTTGCTCCGTGTCGCCGGAGCTGTGCCGGCCGGGCCCCGCGGGACAGGGCACAGCCCGGCTGGAAACCGGGGCGCGGGGCCAAGAAACCCACACAGGGACTGCGCCTTACAGCGTCTGGAGTGTTGCCAGCCCCGGGCGCTGTACAGCGCGGGGAGCGCGAGGCCCCGGAACATGGTTGCCCCGACTCTGACGGGCAGATCGGGACGCAGATCCATCACGCCTTACGCCAGGGAGTGTCCCGGAAATAGGCTCCCATCCGTGACGGGATGGCGGAGGCAGCAGCGCTCTCGGCCCAACCCGGAGTGCCGCGGCACACTCTGAGGCGGGCGGAGGAGCTGCGGCCGCCTCGGGGCTGCCGGCACCGCGCCGCTGTCCCCTCTCTGCCATCGTGGGGGGCTAGACCCGCACTAGGCCTTGCAGGTTATGTAAGCGTCGCCCGCCGCGATGCCCGCTGGGAGCTGTAGTCCCATCAGCGCACCGCCTGCCACGCTCACCCGTAGTGGGGCACGCCCCGCCCTCCGCTGCAGGGGGCGCTGGGTACTGTAGTCCGCGGGCTGTGTCAGGCTGCCTGCTAACGCCCCGGCGGGACTACCGCTCCCGGCGTGCCCCGCGCGCGCAGGCGCGGGGAGCGGCGCTGCTCCCTGGTAAACAGAGCGGCGCGGCGGCGGCAGCGGGCCCGGGGCGCACAAAGGGGTGGCGGGCCCGGCGCTCCCGGCGGGGCTGAGGCGGCGCCCATGGCGGAGCGCCTGGGGCAGCCAGTCCTACGCCGAGCTCATCAGCCAGGCTATCGAGAGCGCCCCCGAGAAGCGGCTCACGCTGGCGCAGATCTACGAGTGGATGGTGCGCTCCGTGCCCTACTTCAAGGACAAGGGTGACAGCAACAGCTCCGCCGGCTGGAAGGTGCGTGGCGGCCCGCGGCGGGGGGACAGCCCCTGTGTGTGTGTGTGTGTGTGTGTGTGTGCCGGGCCGGGGGGAGCGGCGGCGGCGGCGCCTCCCGGGCCCGGCCCGCCCCGCGCTGCCCTGCTGCCCATGCCCGCCTGCAGCCGCTGCCAGCGCGGTGCCGGAACCGCGGCCTCAGCTCCGCCCAAGGCTCCGGGGTCCCAGAGCCAGCCCAGGGTTCGGCTGCGTGCGGCTGCTCGTGGCATGGCGCTGGCAGGCCGCCCCGCGCGCTCCTGGCGTTTAGGAGCTTTTCCAGGGGCGAGGGGCCGCGGTGAACAGGCGGTGTCCGGCTCTGTGCCGGGTGAAGCCTCGGCCCGGGGTTTGTCACCGCAGGTCTGTGTCACGTGCCGGCGTTAAAGCTCGGTATAAATAACTGTGTCATAGCGGGGGGGCTTGGCTCGCCACGAGGTCCCTTGAGAAACGGGCAGAGGGTCCTGTTTCCAGGAACGTGATGGAAGTTCTGCTGGAGTTTGGAAAAGGGAAAGCAATATTTTGCTCTAAAGGCTCAGCAGTGTCTTCTCTCGTTCTGGAAATAGGTGTGTGCAGAGCTGGGTTAAAGGAGCTCCAGACTGTTTCAGTTCTCTGCCTGTGGCGACCTTGTGCTCCCTTATCTTTAGTCTAAAGAATTCTAGCAGAGAGAAAGGGAAATGTGAGAGCTGGCTTGCAAAATAGCCCCTCAGCCTGTCCTGATGTATCGGGGTGGATGCCATGGAGACTGGACTCTGAAGAGTGTGATCTGTTGCTCTCACTACAGACTGGAATTACACTCTTGTTTGCAGTATTTATTAGCAGTTCATCCATGCTGCAGTTCTGCAGGAGGTTCAGCCAGCCCGCTTTGGGGCTTTGGGCTTCCGTGACTCCAGCCACGTGTTCCTCTGCTTGTCTGACTGAGCAGTAGGTGAGGACAGAGAGTTAATTTCAGACAGTAAATAAATAAATAAACGTCAGTTTCTGGTGGTTGGCTTTCAGCTGGCTCAGCTCTCTGAAGTGTCACACCACGTGGTGGTGTGAGTGCAAACATTTGCTCCAGAGGGTAGAAACACCGTGAGAGGGATGCAGCTGTCACAGCTTGGGCTGGCACACGTCAATACAAAACTTATCACATTTCCATTTATCACTTATTGACAGTTCCTGGAGAGTGCATCTAGTTTAACTAATACGGATTATTTTCTTTTACTTGTATATGTAGGTTAGATTCTGCATACTGAGTTCTGATTTGGGATAGTGCTTGGCTTTTGGTGTTCTTACTGGAAGACAGTTCTTGTTTCCTCAGGCTAGGGCTGCTGTCCTGGTCCTGCTGCTCCTGAGTGTAGTCATGTTAATTTAACAGAACTGGTGCATTTTCTTGTCAGGAATATGGCTGAGTGTCTGTTTGGCAGCAGTGCCTGAGATTAAAGCCCAGTGTGCTTTCTGAAATGCTCCCCAGATACTGTGGTGAAGGTGGAATATAGTGGGATGTCCTGCTGGACTGGATGCTGGAATAAGCCCACTTCTGGCTTAATCCACTGTGGCTGTTCTTTTGTTACATCCATTCACGTGTAATAGGACCATCAGCCTTTGGTGTTACTCTGTGTTTTAATAACGTGTCACTTTTGGGGCATTTACAGGTAGATTTAAATTCCAGAAGTTCACTTTGCAAATTTGTGCATACATGAGAATGAGATTCCTGGTCAGATGCTGTCGTAGGTTTTCTGTGATTGACTTTTTAGTGTGGTTTTCCAGCCTGGGAACAGACTAATTCTGGCTTTAGAAGGAGAAGAAAAAAGCTTTTTGCCAAGAAAGATGAGGGCGGGCAGAACAGCAACAACTGTGGTGGGAACCAGACTGTCTTATGATTAGGGCAGTTTAAAGCTCTTGGTTTAACCAGCAAGCAGAAAATCATGATAAAAATACAATACATTTTCTTTCCTGCTCACTCGCAAAATCCTGTTGGCAGAGCTTGGCAGGATGTGTGACCATGGAACTTGCTTTCAGTCTTTCTTTCTGTTAACTCACAGTTACATGGGTTTGCAAGAGGTTTTGTTTGTTTTTCTGGCCTCAGTCTGTTTGCATTCAGATCCCTTAGGTGAAGAGAGGTCAGACATTTCCAGTTTTGCAGATGGCAAGTCAGTCAAGTCAGTTCAATTTGACTTTTGTGGACTTGGAGCAAATTTAATAAATGCTTATTTAAGACAAACTGGATAAACAAAAGACGTGTCTTCACTTGAGGAATGGACCTGTCTGGGGCTTTTTTTTTAATTTTTGTTATTCTGAGAGCTGTGAGTCTGTTTGCATGTTTTGGGGGTTTTTAATTTGTAAAATAAAAGAAAAACTTATTGAGTTGTCTTAGTTTTAGTAATTTCTCAATGTTGAGTGAATAATTTTGCATAAAGGAAATAAATGTGAAGCTGCTGTTAAAGGTGGCTGTAGCATTTTGATGCCTGTCAAGATGGTGGTACAAGTCTAGAGTTCTGGCATTTCTGTCTCATTTGGACAGAGCCAAACTGATAATAGATTTTATTTGTGTGTAGTGCAGTTAAATAGAGAATTTTAATTAAGTCATTAAAAGCAATATGTCTTTAAAAACTGTTAATCTACTTTAGTTAATATAAACCCCATAAATTCATTGTTGTTTCATAATTAATTTAGAGCTGTCCTACTCCACTGTACAATTGGGGGAAGTGCAGCTGCTGCAGACTGCCAGGGTGTGACCTCCATGAATTCCGGAAGAATCTGTTTTCGAGGAAGATGGAGCTGGCTGTTCCTGAAGTGCTTGGAGCACCTTGTGAAGGACAGATTTGCTGTGTGTGCAGTCTGTCCTTTCCTGCAGCTGAAGTTAGGAATTAACCAGCCTGCGAGGCAGAAGTGTCCTTGTAGGGTGTGTTTGGGGCTTCTTCATAATCCTTGCCTGGGTGCTCTGCAGGATGGTCTGGGTATCTGTGGGTAAGAGGATAATTCCTTTTGGGTTTGAGATTACTTGAAAGGGGAGGGTGTTGAGGGTTTGGGGTAAAGTGCAAAAACCCTGCAGAGAAGCAGTTTGCAGTGCTTGTTACATCCATGAGTATGAGCACGTCTGGCACAGTGAGGAGCAAGAAGGACTCCTCTTTCTTAGAGAAACAAACTGTGTGTTTTCCCCAAGCTCTTGTCTTTTCCTTTCTAGGGACAGAATAAACTTTAAAGTCATCCTTTTCACCCTCCAAAAGTATGTCACTGAAAGAAAAATCAGATGTCTCCTGTGTATCTGTGTATGCAACATAAAGAACAAATGATTCTGAACTATTACACTGGTTATGGGAAGCTGATGTCACACCTCTGCATCCTGGTGCTTTTTATTTCAAATGTGTGCATGGGTATACACAACATATGTACCCTCATACACATATATATGTATAGTGTGTGTATATACATATATATATACATGCAACAGCTCAAGGAGCTGTATTATGAATTAAAAATTACCAAGTGTTCTGTTTATCTAAAACAGATGTCTAGCTCTTAATCTTTGTTAAAGTGGGCAGCATTTTCCTGAAAAGCCTTCCATTCCAGCCTTGGGTTATGTGCATATTGCATGTAGCTGATATTAAATGTTGACCAGATGGATCAGGAGACCTGGCTGAGAGCTCAGTCACAGAATCACTTCACTGGCTTTCAGCGCTGGCTCTGGCAGTCCCCAGCCTCTCCCAGAGCTGTGGCTGTCTGATCTCCTGGTAGAGCACATGCAGACCTCACTCAGGTTGGAGCTCCTCCTGTGGCCCTCTGAAGCTCCTCCATGAAGGAGAATAGCCCAGCAGACAAAAGGAACCCTGTCCATCTTCTGAACTATTTCTGCTGTGCTGTAGCTGGTAGATTCTGCCAGGCTATCTTTATGCCTTGCAAATA